GCGCTAAAAAAAACGTGGCATCACAATTTACAATCTCGTACTAAATTCATAGAAAAAAATCGTTTTTGACAGTTCGAAAAAAGTATTTCATTTGACTAGTTGTGGAATACCTACAGTATTGTATTAAAATTAGGTAGAACAAAAAGTACCTAACCTTCCAGCGGCCTCAAAAAATGTCTAAACTGTTATACGTTTTAAATTGATATTTTTATTAGAAGAACAAAGTACCACATCACTTTAATCGCAGTATACAAAAACGTATCACCGTAAACTCCATAATCCGGCGTGCAAGTTTATTAAACGTCAGTAACATGCGGCCCCGACTACCGTTCCGTAGAAAATTGAAATGAAACAATATGGAACTTCAATAAGTGCGACTGAAACAGGCACACTGTAGACATCGTCAAACAATATTTAATAATGTACGTTTATTAAATTGCCCGTATTGCGCCTAGTGCCTATTCTGAGACACGGCTTGATAATTTGATAGAAAATCATTTTGTTTACATATTTTTTCATAGATATTTTGTAAAATATAATTTCGGTAAAGATTGAACTAGGTAAAAGGTAAGAACGGATTTCGTTGCCAGAGTCTGTATTTCCTGAAGGACAAAACCTGGGTGTCTTCAAGGCCTGAGTGAATAGGTTGCTTATGAGTTGACGTGCTCCATCGTAGACCGCATCATCGCTTACCACTAGGCGAGATAGTAGTAAAACGTTGACCCACCTAATATAAAAAAACACATTCATTAATTAAAAAACAACGAAAGAGGTAGTCTATAATTCGTTATTGTAGGTACTCAGTGTACCTACTTATAATTTTATTGCATTGCTAATTTATTTAGCTTGAGATACCTACACAATTATGTTTTTATCCAATAGGAGGAGAAGGAGTTTATAATTATTAAAACTGAACCTTTCCCTACGTCAATTTTTCGTTAAGTACTTGTTAGTTATCTTTCTTGCTCAATAGCCTGATACCTGAAAGTTATTTAAAATGATATTTTAACAGGCTTAGCTTTATCTCAGTCATCTTAATTATTTTTCTTATGCCTAATCATACCTGAATGTCATTAATCCTTTGCAATATCTCTGAATTTCCGATTTGTAATTTTGGAAATCTCTCTAGATCGATCATGGACTGTTTAAAACCATATAATTAATCAAAAATGTCAATAAAGTGTTATTTCCAAGTAATGCGTGATAAATAGCATGCTATCAGTAAATCTTCTCAACAGATTATACAAGTAATTACTTAAAAAAAGTTTAAGTACCTATCAACACTTAAAAACTATTTTTATTTAAAACTGTTTTCTATTCAGCCAGTTTTTTTATTTTGTTCATAAGTAAGAAGCTTTTATTTCTTTACCTAATTTCTTCTTTCTTTTGGACAAATAAAATTGAGTAAGAATTGAATGAATTAACTAAATCTAGAGATGTTACAATCTACATGGTGGGTGTATTGACATTTCTTAATTTAATTTTAGAGATTACTAGCTTTTGCGCGCGTCTTCGTCCGGGCATTAATTGAGGTTTGATATATTAATAAAGCCTATTTATGTTTATAAATTTATTGTGAGATTTTGGTACTTTTGGTATTCCTTTATTGTGAGATTGTAAAAGATAACGTGGTTCAAAATACATAATTATAGTTCTAAATTTTACGCACTTAGGTCTTGTTTCTGTAGGATTTTCATTATAAAAAGTTGTAATATATTTCACCATAATCTGCGTCGAGATTTATCCAATACGCAGTCTTGTCAGTTTTATCCGTACAGTTCCTGTTCCATCGGCTTCCTGGGATCCCTAACAGATCGTCAGGCCACGTTGTGGTTGGACGAAAAGCAAAGAAAGTATAATTTATATCATCCTAATTAATTATATTTATTGGCACGTGTCGTAAGCCTTACCAAAGGACATTAATACGAAGTGATTTTTATTGAGTTGTATGTAGGTATTTAGCAAGCAATTATGGACAAAACCATGTAGATTAAGAATGATTAATGTTCTTTTTATCAATATTTTAATCGTATCGACCTACCTGTGTGCATTTTTTTTATTACTGATATGCTATTAAAAGTATTTATACGTAGTAGGTATATGTTTCGAACTTCATTTTACCTGCGGCTTTGCAGGCGTGAATCATTCTACAGGGTGTTTGGCAGAACTTTGAACATATGAAAATGGTGGATAGGTGGGGTCATGTGCTACTTACTCAGCCCTAATTTATTTGGCCCTGGCCCACTGGATATTTTAAATTTTTTTTTTTTCTTCTTTTGTTTCACCATTTCATAACTTTAAAGTGTAATTTTTATTAAAAATGGTAAAACAAGCAATATTTAGTTTTTAATATTTAGTTTTCGTATGTTCAACGCTCTGCCAAACACCCTGTATATATGAAGGCTTTGACTGTAATAGAAAATTGTTGAAGGCAATTCCTCCGCTAGCGTTTTTTTTTTATTTCTCCACGGCCTTGTGTCTGTGGCCTTGTCATATTACAGTTACATTGTTTTCCTGGTCAAATAATTATTTTAAAAAGATATTTCCGTTTAACGTTGGTCACCGGTCACCCATGGCATTTAACGTGTTAAAAAACCGCATCACATTCTGTAGAGTAGTTTTAAAGATCTCTGAGCATACATACGGACCAATACAGCAGAAAGTGACTTTGTTTTACCTACTTCATCAGTTATTAGTATTTCTAAAATTATTAACATACGTAACCATTAGTACCTATAGTGTTTTTTTATACCATGATGGTGGCAAAAAAGCACACGGCCCACCTGATAGTAAGCGGTTACCTTGGCCCACCGTGGCCTATATCATGTTACCTATATGGGACTTATAACATAGGTACCAAACTATCAAAAAATAAGCAAATAATATGCATGTGGACCTCTACAATTAGACTCCATATTTTATTATTGTTTTACATAAAAATTCAATGTACCTAATAGTGATACGAATATGCTAATTTAATTTTAATATCAAAGATCAAAAGTGTCAATGATAACCATGGAATATATTTGTATACATACTATCGGTATATATCTCTATACATAATTACATACTAATAAAGTTATGTTCAACCAGCTTCTTGTCTGTTGAAACACCGGCACCCGGTATGAACCTAACGGGTTACCGGGGCTCCGGCTCAACGTGCAGGAGAAGGAACGGGGTGGTTTTTAGTCAGTAAGAGTCTGACATTTCCTCTCGCCTCACCCAGGCGGGAGCAGTCATTCGATGATTTTCCCCCATAAAACAAATCGGTATAAACACATTATGGCCGCAACTATCAACAGACAACAGGCTAGCTGTTTTAATACGATTCCTGTTTTATCAGCATTTAATTGGGACAAAAACTATCCTATCACCTAAGTCAGCCTGTCTCTATACCAAATTTCATCAAAATCATTTATGTAGTTTCAGTGTGATTGACGAAAAAACATCGAAACAAAGAAACTTTCACGATTATAAATAGTAGTGCGATGTTCTTTCTTTACTAAGATATTATGTGTCTTTTAAGTATTTTTACAACCACATTCTCATGGTAAAAAGCAGAATGAAGGTTTCAAATGAAACGTCTACGACGGCCCAATTAGTAAAAGAAATCCCCAAGTCCCTTCGAATATGGATAAATCTAATCTATGTTTAAGTGCGTTCGAAGTCGCGGGCAAAAGCTAAGTAGTGTTTAATGTTTTACGTAAAACGTTAATATAAATAAATAAATTATGGAATATTTTTGAACAATGTTATAGTTTTTATGATACTTGACCTGAGTTGACCTTTATGATGGTAGGTCACTGATTACACTTTCAACAACACCTCTCGGCTAATAGATAGTACATAATTCATAGAATAATAAGTCATAAAATGTAGACTAAGTATGAACAAGTTTTCTACGATAGTTCCTAAGACTTCATCATCCTATACCGATAAACAAAATAGCCTTCATTCAAGATCATAAAGGTATTTAAATTTCTAACGATAATAATTATTTTTTTCCTGTTAAGAATGAAAATCTACGCATGAAGACTGGGTCTGCGAGTTGCCAGGGCCGGCCCGAACTAGGAGTAAGAACGGGGTGGTTTAAATCAAAAGAGGCTGATACTCACTTTTGCCTTACTCAAAGCGGGACAAGCCGTTTGATGATAGTCTCCCTCAAAAAGTTAGGTACGGATGGGTAAAACCAAAAAGGCCCGGTGGGCCACAGCTTAAGTACCTATAGGTGGTCCAATCTAATAACATAATGCCCAATTTAATATCAAAATTACGTAACAGATTGTGTTACGTATGTACATTAACGATAGGTGCGCCTATGCATAACAGATGGCCTGATTATAAAATTAATGACAAGTATTTTCTGTATTACCTTCAATGGTTTCATTGCTGTTAATACTCGCTACTTCACCTTGGCTACAGATTACTTTATTGATATTTATGTCTGCTACTAATTGTATCCTGCACACCCAGTTGTTCTTTTTATATAGAGGATATTCCTCGTTTTGTTTTAGCACTTACGTAGGTATTTATTTTTATAGTACAGGTTCCTTATGAGTAAAGGGTTCACCTGATGGTTAATGGTCAGACCCCTAACTCAGCACTAAAAATTTTCAAAACCACTTGGTAATTGAGCCTCCGGTAACGTCATTTACGTGACGCGAGGGTTGTTTCACGTCGTATTTCTGTGATGTGATTGATTGATTGATTGTGATGCCGTGGTATCACTCCGGTCGAGCCGGCCCATTCGTGCCGAAGCATTTCTCTCCCACACGTAACACAGTTATAAATATGTAAAATATGTATCATAGGCATCTAACCTACCATCACAAAGGTCAAAATATATCACAATTTCCATAACATTCACAAAAAATAATTACATATTTATTTTAATTGAATTATCTCATTTGATAATAAATATTTATACCATGGTTATCTATCTATCATCGTAACCTTTGCTTGGGTCTAGGTCATTTATCGCTCCTTGTTTACGTGTGTTGGTGTCGATGAAGTAATATTATGATCCCGTGGGCATTTTATTTGTCAGTCTACCTCGATACACTGCACGAGTCACCATGGGTCGCCTTACTCTAGAACAGAAGAAATTTTACAAAGATAACGGTTACATTTTACTGAAAAATCTAATTTCAGAAGAAGAATTGTCGCGAGTGATAGATGAATATGACAAATTATTCAAGAGGAAGAATCTGGAACAGATGGAGAACTCTTGGGTTGGAAAGAATGAAGATAATAGGAAAAGTGACAGTCCTTACACAGTAAGTAAACAGTTAAGTAGGTAATAGTTTCTTTAAAACTCAAATATCAAGAACCGATCTATTGGGAGTTGCTCAGTGCCTACTGTTTGGTCGCAATGGATAATGGTTATGTTAACCTTATTCTTAAAATCTCGTGTTGAGGAGGGCCTTAGTTCCTTAATAATAATAAACCCTCACGTCCTCCCTCTGTTGATGATAATAATTTATTTTACTGGTGGTTCCTTTTCTGGAAAATAAACAATATTTATAATATAAAAAATTGCATTTAAAATTGTGTCTACATCTGTGCTTACATTAGGAAAACACAGATATAAGATTAGGCATTAAATTTATTTTTTTTGCTAACTCCATTATCTTAATTATACCTCGTATTATATTAATTATATTTCGTATAATGATGATAAGTGATTTAGTGACGAAAGCCAATGTCTTCCGATTTTAAATAACTTAGAACAACGCTACTATCGGTTACAGATTAATAAAGATCATAAAATTGATTGCAATCCAAACATAAACAGCCAAATACTTTAATTAAATTGTAATATATCTACAATCTCAGTGAATTTGATCTCATCAATAAAATACTATCATAAAGTATTATTTTAAAATTTATATCATTTACTTTATCAATGAAAAATTACTTAAGATTCAATTAGAAACGTCTACGTAGGTACCTACATAACTACTTACGGTAGATTTATCCATGTGATTAATAGCTGCAAATAGATATCTAATAGGTACCTACGCTGTCCGTACAATGTACTATGCATATCTGTTTGGAGTAATTTGACACACAGAATCAAGAATTAAGGGAAACGTTGTTCTAATATAAAATTGAAGGCATTTTTGCTTCGCCTACTTTTCGCCCACTGGTGGATGGTGATATTGAAATAAGTGTGCGTACGTTAAAAAAAAGGTGGAGATAGTCTCTTGATACAACGACTGTGGCACCTGGCTACTATAGACTTACACGCAGAATACATACACATTACGACACGAAGGACATCTGTCGCGTGACATGGTCCGTCATTACACTTCATACATTACGGTGTTGCAAGTACACGCACACATAAATACACCACTGATATTTTGTGCTTCAATCATTTCTAAGTGACATTACACACACCTTCTTTTCAAATTCCTTGAGGGTGCCTAAGAGACAAGCCTTTACACAATTCCCATTTACTGGCTACGAACTCCGATGAGGTACGACTCCTAGTTATGACGAAAAAGCAAACTTTCTAAGATTTGTTTTACATCTCAGGTAAAAGGAGTCCACAACCTGCAACATCATCACGCTGTTTTTGGAAAGCTACTGTACAATGATAATATATTGGACGCACTGGAGGATGTGATGGAGACAGAAAACATCATGCTGCATCACACCAAAGCGCACTACAAACCACCAGAGAAGGGGGCTTCCTACCCTATGCATCAGGTAACAATTTTTATAAAACCATTGCCACACTAAATAGTCTTTATTGTGTCCTGTTGCAAATTTGACCTGATGTAGATACTGGAAGCCACAAATAGGTAGTTGTTTTAGACCTGTAGGTACTTAATGCAACCATGGTGCTAAAAGTTTTTGTCAGAAGTTAGGTTGGAAGGTACTGCAAGGGCTTTTTAAGGTCCAGGTACACACGGCCACACATCAATCTATCAAATCTATCCTGGTGTCGCATCGCATCATCTTTCCGCACATTTTACGTTCAGTTTAGACTGGTTATGTAAATCTCGACGTATAACCAGGTCCAGTACCTAGTCATACAACTAATATTGTGGTTTCAAAACGTGGCAAAGAATCCTTTAAGACATTTTTTTTAAGCATTTCCATTCTGTTCTAGGATTACCCCTACTTTCCCTATGAGAAGGATTCCATGGTGGCAGTGTTCATCCACTTAGACCCAGCGACTCCTGAAAATGGAGGATTACTTGTATACCCTGGCTCTCACAAACTTGGACCTCTAGAGGATGTCGGAAAACTTCAGGGCAACTTCCATTTTGTTGATCAGGTTAGTTAATTTTTAGTTTTTTTTCTCCCTTTAGTAGCAGATCAGTCTGAGAACGTAGATGATTATTATAAAACCGATTAATATGACTTAAATTATAGATTTCAACTCAAGTACCTAAGTGACTCTAAGTTTTTTTAGCGGTTTATTCCCGTTTTATGCGTTTGGGTATTATGATTGATCACTTATTGTTATTTTTTCAGAAAAAGTTCCCTATCGAAAAAGCTACACCCGTTATTGCTGATCGTGGAGATGTCGTCATTTTCTCCTACTTTCTTGTCCATGGCAGCACGCAGAACCTGTCTGACAAACCACGTCGTATGTTCCTCGCACAATTCGCGTCGGCTGACGACCGGCCTATAGGAGACCAAAGACCGCAGCCTGGATACGGCTGGGTGCTAAGAGGTGCGAATTTCGCAAAAGACGCTGCTACTTCGAAGCATTACGATTATAACTAAAAAAATGTGTGAAATTTCCCCTGTCTCTAATGGAATGACAATCGATTACGTTTGCAATTTCGAATGTACCTGCGTACCTAATAAAAATCTAAGTTTCTAATTAAATAAAATATTTTACGAATGTTTTGTGCTTTTTATTTCCCTAAGTTTTAAAACCTAGACATACTATGTACATTTATTAAGTTGGTACTTATTAGGTAGGTAACTGCTTCATTTTTAACTAAATACCTAATAAGGATGAACAAAAATATTAAAGCACAGGTACCTACAGCTAGTAGATACTTAGAGAATAAAAAATCTGCGCTGCAAGTACATATTTAATACAGATAGGTACCTATTTACTATTGACGAAGATAAATGGTTACAAAAGATAAGTACAAGTACCCTGTCCTGAACATGTGTTGCGCTCGACCCGACCAGTAACAGATAAGTATATCTTTTATCCGTTTTGTCTATTGTGGTTTTTCAAGCCAAAACTACGGTCGTAAACAATATAAGAGTCGCGAAGAACCTAACGGGTTACCGGGTCCCACCCGAAGTGCAGGAGAAGGAACGGGGTGGTTTTTAGTCAGTAAGAATCTGACACGCGAGTGAGGCTCCTGCGTCACCCAGGCGGGGAGAAGTCAATCGATGATTTATCCCCGCTTAAAAAAAAACAATAAGAAGGTAGGCATACTAGAATACCTACAAGTAAATTACAAGTGACGTTTTGTAAGGAGCAAAATAATAAAAAATAGAGATTATCTATGTATTTTTTTTTGTATTTTTTTATGGACATACAGCTTCAGCTAGTATTTTTTGCTGCTGGTAACATTTACGAATAATTTTGTTTTAGTATGAAAACATCCTCATCCTGAATATTCTTAATATTGCTGTTTGTACTTGTTATTTGTGTTGATATTTTCGTTTATTTATAAATAAATTCAAGTAATAAAACCTTTTTACTCTAATAAATTAAAATATTATGCTCAAGATGCGCAAAAATTGCTCTGGAACGCTAGCTATGGCGTCATTGGATGCGTTATCTGTGCAACAGACATTTTGTTCATTGTGACAGTGACAGTGTGACAGAATAGCAGAAACAAGCTAATTATTCCTGAAAAATATTTATGTTTTTCTAGAAAATGAACGACAACGAAGATGAGCTGACCACATTTTGTGATTCGGCGGTAATTCTTTTATCCATTGAAAAAATAAAATGTATGAATAATGTAATTTTTTTTCACTTGTTATTGTGTTGTTTTTTGTAGGCATCTCTTGTCGAAGGATGTCGCCTACCTGTGCGTATGCAAGGAGGAGATGACTGGCCTTTAGCTGAAATTATCAGTATTAAAGAAATACGCGGACAACGAGGATATTACGTGCACTATGTGGACTGTAAGTATTGTTGTAAACAAAGTGTTAGCTCAGGTATTAGATCAGTGTATTGGCAGGTCCGTCATCTAAACATAAGAATTCTTGTTAAAGTACTCCCTAACTACAAATATTAGTGAATTATACTTGATAATTATTTAAAACAACAATTTAAATATGCTTTGATAGTTAAACAAGTAAGTTTAATGTGGAAACAACATTATTTAGCAGAATGTTTATTTACCGATAACATTGCTTCGCTTTTAAGTCTTGTAAAAGTAAGAATATACTAGTTAACTACATAAACTGACTTTTAGACACTGAATTAAGAGTGGTTCATAAGGTTTTTATTTAACAGGCCCATATTTAGTCTTATTTACTTAAAAAAATCAAAATTTGGTGTAAAAATGGAAGATGATAATAGTTTTGTTTGTTTAGTAAGATCATTAATTCACTATTCCAGTTAACAAACGTTTGGATGAGTGGGTGGGTGAATCCTGGTTGGACACGAGAAAGGTACAGTTTCCAAGAAGAGATGGAGTATCCACCGGAGGAACAACCACTCCAAAGAAGACACACATCGGATCAGGAGGTGGCGTCATGCCTAATTTTATTAGTATGTGTTTTTGCTTTATTAGACATTGGATGTTCATAACTTCATTCAAAAACTTGGTAACTACAGTGATTCAAAAATTATTTTACAATTATAAAGTAATTTGTGTTTGCTCGTTGTTATCTAGAAAACATTTAATGGCCATATTATTTCATTTCATCATTATACTCATTAATTTTTATTATCTTCAGATTGTTGTGGGTTTCTGGGCCAAATATTTACAGGAATGATACCTAAAAAAACAAATATTTTGAGTAATGGTGATATATCATTAACTCAAAATTTACTAGCCTTTTGACTGCAATTGGCTTTGAATTTCAAAATTATTTTCTTTATGATGGTAGATTGTTTTTGTTGCCGCTATAGTTAGTAAACTTCATGCATGTTTAATGTGTAGTTTTGAATTAATAGCTTTGTAAAATGTTAGTCTGTAAGTATTTTAAGAAAAGTATGATTAAGTTTAATTTGAAAATGATTGTTAGCTACGAACTATGATCGCTGACTAACCTCTCATAATCACAATTTACCATCGTAATATCACAATACTAAAACTCATCATTATTGTGACAATTGGCCATTAAAAATAACATTTTTTCTGCAGATGACACTGTCTGCAATGAAAGTCAGAAGTCTAGTACGATACAGAGTAGACCTACTATTCCGAACCAACAAGTTCCGCCAAGTCTACCCCAACCTAAAGTTCATGAGAAAACCCATTTAAATGCACTCAATGGTTCTACACCAAAAAATGCACTTGGTACGTTGAAATTTATGATTCAATTTTGTTTGTGTGCTTTGCGTTTTACAGCGTTTTGTATGTATTACTGGTAGTCGTATTTAGAAACATACAAGAGCATCTTTGTATGTGTTCTTAAAAGAAATACGATATTCGTTTTATATAAAACTCCTTTCATTTTATCTTTCCCAAGTTCCCACAGATTACTTATTTAACGAGAAATATTTATTTATGGAATTTATTTATGCAATTCATTAATTTATGCCTCAGAAATCCTTCATCGTTAACACTATGTATAATTGTATATGTATCTATTGTGTGCTATCATAATTACGTATAAAGTATATAATATAAAGTCAAGCATGTGAATGTTTTTCTGACAGCTCCACTAGTATAATTGCTAAAAACCTTTTTTTAGAAAGGACCTTCTTGAAGATTGGTGGTATTAATGTGATACAAAGAGTTTTGCAAGCTTATTACATCTTTATATACCAGCATGTAGGGTTCAAAATCAGGTATTACATTGACGAGTTATTTGTATCTGTTAAATTCTCCTCAATAGTGATTGTCCGGCTTTAGAGTCTGTCCAATGTTTGCAATAGATGGTGGTTGGATTTATTTTGTTGAAACAGTACCTAAGTTTTATAGTGATAAGGTTGAGTTTCAAAGAATTCTGGATCATTCACATGTTTGTTTTTAAAAGTTTGAGGATTATTGGTCCCTAATCCTTACAGTATGTTAATATTCGTCTTGTACCTTAATAGTCTTTAAAAAACAACATGGAAGGTGATGATTAATTAATTGTTTTTATTATACTTGCTTTGTGATGCTTACAAAATATCTATATCCATATATGTTAACAGACATAGTAAGTATATGTACCTATTTATTATTTAATTTAAAGCTGCATTCTAAACAAAGACCTATGTATCCAAATAGAGCATATAAAAGTAAGCTTTATTTTTATCGGCATAGAGGACATTTTCACCTATATTTTATTGTAATTTCTCATTGTTTTGTCTAACTTCAATGTGTAAGGTGTGGTTGCCGGTGAGCCGCGTCAGTTGGTGTCTCGTCCAGCAAGCCCAACACTGGGCAACGACTCGTCGTCGCTCGTCAATGGCGGCGCAGTACTTGCGGCTGCTTTGCAGAAGAAAATGAATAGGAAACGGAAAGCGCCATCTATAGACAATGAAGTATGCTTTTAATTTAAAAACCTTTTTCTATGTGTGTGTTTTGGTGAGGGGCATTACATTGTGGCGTCATGTTTTAGACTCACTTTTATAACACAGGACTTAACGAAATCAGAAATTAAAATCAATGAAGATTGTTGTTACCATAACGAAGTAGATATTTTATCTATTTTAAGTAGATAACTACCTATATGGTAGTTATTAAAATGGGTTAAATTAAAGGTTTCATTAAACCTCTCTCAAATGCATCCTATATATTTTACTATGCTTTAATCTATACTAGATGAAGAGTTATAACAAAGATTTGATAAGATTTCAATAATAGATACCCATGGTATACCAAAAACTATCCCTAAAACTGTAAAACTAACTTTACCTACCTTTATCTTGAACAGGTAATACCTACCCACAGACAAACAGGGTAAAACTGAACACCTAAACCCCAATACTAAAATACAAGCAATTATTTACAGGAACCCAAGCAAAATTCTAAAACATTTCAGGCGGAACCCGTTCCGTCTATAGAGAACGAGGGAAGTGAGACCACGGTGAGTGGTACGGCCACCCCGACCGCTCGGCCGCGCCAGTCGGGCAGTATGGTCGCGCATGGACACGACGACCTCGTCACACGTATGAAGAACATCGAGATGATTGAACTGGGAAGGAATCGGATACGACCGTGGTATTTCGCCCCTTATCCTCAGGTTCGTAGCTGTTTGTGATCGATTGATATCATTTATTTGCTTACCATAATTGAATAAGGTGTTTAGACTTAAAGCTAAATTCCATTTATGACAAGTACCTCGTCAAATAATTACGTGAGTAATCCGAAAAACATGATACTTAATTAATTTACTATGTCTCATGAAGGTGCTTAATACTACCTATAAAAATAATTACAATCAAAATAAATTAATTCGGTCAAAATAAATCTTGAAATCAAAATAAAATGTGTAGTTAAAATTCTTGTTAATTTTAAGTCGATTAATTAAAATGATCAAAGTCAAATCAAAATAATCGTGGTTTCTAGAATAGGTATGTGGTGAAATGGCACAGATAGAAATTTTTTTTTTACCATTCCTTTTCTTCCAGTAGGTGTCGGATAAGGATCTAAGCACAGATAAAAAAGCATTTGATTTTTATTATGTTCTGCCTCTGCATAAAAATTACTTAATGTAATTAATAATTTATATCTTTCAGGAAATGGTTAACCTGCCTTGTATTTACATCTGTGAATTCTGTTTGAAGTACAGAAAAAGTAAAAAGTGCCTTGAAAGACATTTGGTAAGTTATCATTATCTTTATAATTATTATTTTGTAGAAAAGAACTTTAGTTAACTATCTATCTATATTTATCTCGTTGGTTGTGATCGCTAATACGATCGCAGTGATGAAGCGCACGGCGCGTCGCCGTCAAAGAGCCATCAGACCACCACGGATAGGACCCAATAGGGCTGATCGGCATCATATCGTATCGGCATACGGATCCTCAGAGGACTTAACGGGTTGCCGGGGCTCTGGCTCGAAGTGCTGGATTAGGAACAGGGTGATTTTTAGTCAGTTAGAGTCTGACACTCCCTTCACACACACAGGAGAAGTACATCAACGATTTTCCCCCATTAAAAAAAATAATTGGTTGAATGAACAAAGTTTCTGAGAATCGATTTCAGGCTAATTTTAATCTGGAGTTTGGTAATGTACTCAAAGTTCACTAAAGTTAATGTAATATTTTTATTTTTCAGATTAAATGCAAACTAAAACATCCTCCTGGCAACGAAATATACCGCAAAGGCAGCATATCATTTTTCGAGATAGACGGACGAAAGAACAAATGTTACGCTCAGAATCTCTGTTTACTAGCCAAGCTCTTCTTGGACCATAAGACATTGTACTACGATACTGATCCATTTTTATTCTACGTTATGACTGAATTCGATGCCCGAGGTATGTATTTTTTTGGGATTTTGCACTTTAATGTCAAGGAGTAGGGTGTGTTTTTGATTGGTAGCGGTTTTACGTCTTTTGTCGGATTTTGACGTTTGAAAAGCAATTAAAGTGGTTTAGCAATAAGGTTGTAATTTGTTTAAAAGTTATTAATGTTATTTATTGGGTGTTATTTATTGCTTCTAATATATATTTGTTAAAAATACAATAATAAATATGAAGTTAAAATCAAATGTATGTCTTTATTCCAGGATTTCACATAGTAGGATACTTTTCTAAAGAGAAAGAGAGTACAGAAGACTACAATGTAGCTTGTATATTGACACTGCCTCCATACCAAAGGAAAGGTTATGGAAAACTTCTTATAGAATTTAGTAAGTAACTTAATCATGCTACTAATATAGGCTATGAACCACCTTTACATAGAAGAAATTTGCCACCTACAATACCTACATAAATTCTAACAATGTTTTTAGTATGTGAGCGATAAATTAGATAAAACCAGGTGTGCCATTACTATGGTCATAATGGACGCTGTCGCTGAAAAACCGGCTGCTGTGGGACATATCTTGGTTCGATTCCAATACAGAATAAATACGTATTGGTACTACTTTACACTTAGGTACTTGCTTTGGACTTGAAAATGATGAGTATCAAAGCCAAAGGTACTACAAGTCTACTTCACACTAGAAAAACCTTTTAACGTGTCCTTTTATTACGAAACTAGCTTCTGCCCGCGACTTCGTACGCGCAATCCTGTTTTCTCCTGTTTAAGTAGGATTTTCAGAATTTTTTTTCTGTCATAAGAACCTTCTCCTGACAATAATAAACATAACAAAAAAAACAGCCAAATCGGTCCAGCCGTTCTCAAGTTATGGTGTGACAACGGGAAACGGGTTTCATTTTTATATATATAAATGATTAATAATAAATCTCATCGTTGTTACTTTCGATAGAAACGCTAGCGTAAATTTTTGTCTTATGCGTATTTTTTCAGGTTACGAATTGTCAAAGTTTGAAGGGAAGACTGGATCGCCAGAGAAACCTCTATCGGATCTTGGTTTGTTATCGTACAGGAGTTACTGGGCTCAGACTATACTGGACATCCTTACGCACATCAAGCCAGTCGGAGATAACGAGAAACCCATCATTACAATCAAGTAAGAACCCATATTATTTTAATGTTCTATACATTTAAGCATTCTAAAGTTACATTTCTAAATACTACTTAAGAAAAAATTTAATATAATAATAATAGGAGCCATTATTATTTTAATTATTATTGCTCCGGTAGACAGTGTGGTGTAAAACGGTTCAGTAGAATACATAATTGTATCAGTAACGCTGGCCGTCACGTTAGTATAATAAGCGCTACCTAAAGGAATACGCGTTTGGCGGAGACAAGGCAATATTCTCATTATTTTATTTTATTTTAACTTAGATAAACGTTTACCTATGACTTAGCGGTGGGCAGCAGTGTGAGTTGTTACGAGCAGCTAAATATAGATCTTCTGGTACTAGAGTACTACTAGATCTTTAATCTCACCTCTATTACACGAGATTCGGAACTGGGTTGGCGAAAATGTATCTCCATTCCGGGGATTGAAAGACGTGTATTGACACAATTTTACATCACTACAACTTTAGTAACTTCAAATGAAATGTAGTATAAATTACCAATTTATTCCCTACTATCCTTTAAACATTCACTTAAATTTTCACCAACTATTTTTCAGCGAGATCTGCGAACTAACCAGCATAAAGAAAGAGGACGTTATAAGTACACTACAGAATTTGAACCTTATAAACTACTACAAGGGCCAATATATTATATCGGTCAACGAGGTGATCTATTATTTTATTTAATAACTGGCGAATGTATTTTTCTTGAATTTGATATGTTTTTAATCGTGATAGGAAACCTTGCAGCAACACGAAAAGGCGATGGAAAAGAGGACGCTGCGCATTGATCCAAAATGTCTTCACTGGACGCCGAAAGATTGGTCGAAACGGGCAAAATGGTATGTTTTATATCATTGTTCTATTTTGTTTGGTTATTCAGTTCATGACTGTGTTAGTGATTGCTCTATACAGTTTTTTTAGTAAGCAATACTTTCATTATGTGTATGTGAAATGAAGGTTTTCGATTTTGCGCTCATGAGGTGGCGCTAGTGTCGTATTAAGTGCTATTAACTAACAAGCTTAGCTATCACAAATTGACTGACTACTGACTTGGCAAATATTATATTTGTTAATAGACTTTAATCTACACTAGCGCCTCTAGTGGTGCGAAAACCAAACATTTTGCAAAGAAATCATCAAGTGATAATAGACACGATCGACTGTATTGAGTAACAAACATTAAAATATCATAATATCATGTCACCATTAATACAACATTTAGGTTAAAAGAAGAAAACTTCACTGGAATCACCAATATGATGTGAAGTTGAGACTCTGGAGTAAATATATTTTCTTTTGTCACCAGCGTTTGAAGGCATAGAGTAAAGGAGACGCGAGCTATCTAACTCTGGCTTCCGAAACGTACGCAGTTTGTTAATTTTGTATCTAACATTAACACTATGTTACTCGCATTTATTCATTATGGTCATTCATCCACGCTAACAAGCTTGGGATAACGAAAACTAATTATTGATTAGCAATTATTTTGCATCTATCATCTTATTTCTAGGATATAAGGTGCAGTTTCATTAGTTTAAGGTGCAAGTGACCTTTACGAAGTATCAGTTTGGCAATACTCGAAGTTCGACTGGAATGAGTCAGTAGCTTTGCAATCCATTGCCTTTCACGCTGCCATTTGAAAAAGTATCTGCTATGCATTGACTTACTCCATGTTCAAATCCCAAACTTTTTGAGTTTATTGATGAATATTTCGTAAAGGTTATGCAAGTATATACCTAAGTATAGTTATACTATAAGGTTGAATTTGGATTAACATTTGTGCTTGTGCTAAATAATATCGGTTGCTCACATTACACTTCATGAACATAAGAAAAACTGCCATAGTTTATACTTTAAGTGTGGGAGAGCTATGCTTCGACACGAATGGGCCGGCTCGACCGGAGTAATACCACTGCCTCACAGAAAACCGACATGAAACAACACTTGCGTTGTGTTTCGTCGTGTGAGTGAGGTTCTCGGAGACCCCACTCCCAATTACCCCACTCCCAAATCTCTCCAATTCCCGAATCTTCAACAATCCTTAAATTTCTAATCCCCAAAAGGCCGGCAAAGCATTTGTGACACCTCTGGTGTTTCGGGTGTTCATGGGCGGCACCGATTGCTTACCATCAGGTTATCCATCTGCTTGTTTACCGGTTTATCCCATGGAAAACCTACACAGTTCCAAAATACGGTTATTCTTAAGTTACATGAACACATCCATTGGTTTAGCTTCTTACGTGCGGAATAGGGACTATCCCTCTTGGTTTGACCACTTGTAAAAAAACCTCATAATAATGTAAGGTCGATATAGCCTTCAATGCAAACACAACGCTTTCGCGGGCACTCATTAACACTGGTGCAACACTTGCTTTACACATCTTTACAATTCTTAAATATAAGAACATTCTCCGAATGGGATTGGTATCGGAAAAATATTGACAGATGTAGCCAAACTTTGATTTTCGTTTACTATCAAATATACGTCATTTTTGAAAAAGGACTAGAAAGGGTGGGAGTTACTAGTTTACCTTTAAAACTGGGTCTTCTAAAAATCAGTTCTAGTGCATAGACTTTACGGCGTATTACTAGCTCTTATGTCCAACATAGCTACCTATTACATATCAGTTTTGATTCCAGCATCAGATGATTTTATACCTAACACTCACTTTTAAAATATTTTTGTACTCATAAAATCACTGATTTGTATATTACTAAGGCAATATGCAACACTATTTCAGCAGATGCACTGCATTACCCGTATATCAAAAGCACGAAATTCACCGCCCACTTGGAACAACTCTAAGCTTAAATGTTACACTAATTCTCATACACAGTATCTCGATTACTAAACACCTATTAACTCTCATATCCATCACAAAGATTGCGTGTTGCATTCGCGTTTCCGAAAAAAAATATAGTGAGAAGCCTTTATTTTATACCAGTTACTGTCATCAATGAGATTCACGATATTATTACTACAAACACTACAATATAAATTCATCTTAGTCACATCACTTAAATTCTCATAGTGCTGACTTCTAGAGTATTTATAGTATTTAAGAATATTCTAGTCTTTACGTAACAATTCCGTAACAATCCCATTACACTGTGTTGTGAATGTCTTGCTACAACACTACGTGGGCGCCATTAAAATTTTCAAACGCAACGGTTTTCTAACGAACTGTTTTTGAAATTATAGGTAGTTGGTGGCACCGATGCTGTTTGGAAGTTCATCCGACAACGGTAACAACTTATTCAACTGTCTTAACGGTAGTTAATAGTTAAATAGTTTTAATGTAGCATTTCTCAAAAAGTGTATTATTAGATATGTATGGTTAGTGTAGTAGTACAAATGTATTGAAGTATTGTGTATTCTACCTCGTTCATAATAGAGTAGCTTATTTCTTTAGCGAGTTGTAAATCCCCTGTATCTGGGGCTTGTTAGGTTTTTTGCTACGAATGGTTTTAGTCATATCTTCAAGAATTTTAATTAAATGTTTGCCTTTAAATTGGCCTAATCTTTATGTTGTACCTTTATTTTTATGTTTCCAAATTTGAAAATTGAGAGGTTGGTACCACCAACTAATTTTATTACTTTTAAAATTGGAAGCCAAATGATTGTGCGTCGAATATTTGGTTTTTAGCCTTTTTGGTGTAAATTCTCCTATAATTCTTAGTTACTGGTTTCGTGATAAATGTTACTTTAGAAACCTTCTGGGAATTTTAACTTTTGCTTCTTCTACATCGTATAAAGAGAAGTTTTATAATGTTTGTTCTAGCTTATCCATTCCTTAAAGTTGCACTTTTTGAGAACTGCAAGCATTAGATAATAATTTCTAGTCTCAATCAAGACCGGTTCATTTCTTAATAATTTGTGAGATTGTGTTGTATGATTGAAATTCTGTTCAGTAATGCTCGCTACACTAGCCACGTAAGATATTCAATACATTTCGATATGTAAGTCCTTATTGTGATATTAAATAATATCAGTTTTTGATTATTCCTTGTTTCATTGCTAAGCAATATTCCTTAATAGTTATTAGTTCAAGTAATGTACAAGAAGGTGGGAAAAGGATGCTTATTTATAAGAAAATTAAACATATTTGTATGCAATATAATGATTTATTCTTCAATATATAAGCGCAATAATTTTGCTTTGACTGTCAAAATATTTATATTTATGAAGCAGGTACAAGTGATGTTTACAACACTTACAAAACCTAATACGAATTATTATTTTTTTGATATTATAACAAACAACTGTTCTTACATGATTATGGTACAATATGATTACATTTTAATCACTTTGTGACTTAATTAAAATTTTATTTTTAATGAATAATTATGAGTGTTGAAATTATTTTGTAAATGTATAGAAAAAATTTAAATAGACTCGAATATCAAAGCATTAGTACATAGCAGACTTAAATAGCAAGATATAACAACATATTATTATAAAATTGATTCGAATACTCATATATAAATTATAAAGATAAATCTTATTTTGTAACAACAATAAATCGTTAAACAAATGTAATACTAGTCGTCATATAACTTACAACCGAATGTTATGCAATAGTAATGTACTATCACAACTGTCCGCGAGGGCCAGCAGAGATACACAGATAAATTAAATAGAAGATGACGTCACACGTGATCAAATAACATTATTACATGCAGCGGAAGAGAATGGAACCAGTAATGGTAATACAACTAATTATTCAGTCATTAGCAAATTTTATAGACGATATTTGATACCTATCTAGGAAACTGGTTTCAATACTGACGTTTTGTATAAAGTCATCATTATTTTGGTGATAGGAACCATTCTCGTTCCGATATGTAATAAATTACTGACCAACTCCAACGTGACTACGAATAAACCTTCCGGGAACACTAAACTATACCTTCTAAAGTTAATCTTATAGACAAGATTACTACGACGGTACCATCACACTACAAAAGCGAATAAATACTACAAACTTTCAAACAATCAAAATTCATAAACATTGACCAAATATAATGAAGAAGAGAAAACTACATTTCTAAGGGAAGTCCATTACGTTTCGCATATAACGGCCTTTCTAGAAACTACCATTCTGGAGACTTGAACTTCTTGTTAGACAAGATATAACAATGAACGTTTAGTTCGAATTGTGCTCTGTGTTAATAAATATATTTTTTCTTGCTATCACAATATTACCAACAATATAAAAATAAATGCTCGCGCGACTGACTGCTCAGTAAAGCAGCCACATGGACTAGGATCACTGGTATGCAGAAGGCACTGTCTTTGTATAGGTCTGCATCACTGTCTGGGCTTCACAACACACACTCGCTTGGAATATTCGCGTTAATATCATATTGCGCAACAGTACAACTCCGGTTATTGCGCAACATAAACAACCACGCCTATTTCCAAAGTCACAAGGATCATTTTCCATTTTCACCGTTCCGCCCAAACATCTACTCAGTACTTACAGTAAATTACTAACTCCATATAAAAATATCAACAGAAAACAAAATGCTTTAGACCGAAATTAATATACAGAGGCACTTTACAATGGTGTTTTTGTGAACACTTCAAGCGACTTACGTACGTTAAAATACATTTAGTCCATTCGTCAAAGTCATATGCCACGTATTATTTTTTATTAATTTTGTCTTTGTGTAATATACAATAAGGTTTTTAGTCGCATGACAATGACAAGTGACAAATGGTAGAATTCGTCATGTTGCTTTGTGTGCACATACAATTCGTTACGTGTACAATCTTAATTATAGAAATGTCAAGTTCTTAAAATTAATTGATTATCGTTCGTAACAAGTAACGCTTGTTGCACTTAACAATAATATTAGGTATATCACGAGTTACTCTGAGTTAAAGCACCTTAAAACTAATATTACCTTACACGAATTGTAACACATGTATATGTGGAATATATCATATCTCATTATAATCTGTGAATATAGTTCTGTAACAAAAAATATATAATTTTGGAATTTCAACAGGAGGTACTGTATTACTATATCTATCATTGTACTGGAAGTTAAAGGTTTATGTATTGTGATGTATTTGGGACTTTCATTCATTCACATTTTCGAGTTACCGATGTAGACTAGACACCAATGGTAATACTAAATCGTTTTAAACATTGCACCGTCTAAATCAGATCTTAATAAACAAATATTTTAAACAGATCAAAGCAAAATCATAGAACTTAAAAAAATTAAAACGAATGGTAATTGTTAGAATTAGACACTTAGATAAAATAAAATATTATGTGAAATACCTACCTAAATAACTGTTACACAGTCACTGCTTCGTGTTAACGTAGTCATAATTACAATCGAATGGGAGTTCTAGTTCACAACACTTAAAAGAAAAGTAACGTTTAATTTGAATATTGTTTTTGCTTTTTAATGTGCTGTAGAATGGTAAAATTTGTGTTTTCTTCTATTAAATAATGTTTTCATAGTTCATGTTCGTTCTGGACTCTAAATGTCACTCCATCTCTTATTCATACATACTAGCTACGTTATACAGGCACCAAACTATCTCTACGTTGTTGTTCTACACAGTAGACATATGATTTCGTTTCGAAATAAATTTCCCCGCCCTTTGTCGTTTTTCTGGCACTTTATGAAGCTTTATTATGAAATACAAAAAGGTTTTTAATGTTTTATCACAACTGTTGTGTATAGTTATTACAAAAGTGATTTGACGGAAGTAGATGTATATCTAACATTTTAATGGTTATTCTGATAATTCGTACATTACAAAAATAATTCTCAAAAACTTGCCACCGAATTGAAAAATAAGTTTTTATGTAACAAAAATTCAAAAGAGAAAGCGTTTATGTAACATGTAGATTGTAGATATAAGCTATGTCTGGAAGATCGTGTGGAATTATTATAAACGGTGACACTCTATTTCGAATTTTAATAACTCCAATGCTTAAATTATACGTATACATGTCGAAAATAAATTTGGACCCGACAAAAAATGGTTACTGACAACGTGGATGATCCTAACTACACGAGGCATCCATCATTAAGGCCGTTATTGAGTTTGCTTGACGCTTCGGGGATCGTATTAGGGTATGTGTGGCACTGCTGGTTCCCCAGATTGTAATTCGCCTCAGGATCGTAATAATCCTGTTCCGAGTCGATCGGGACGAGAAGATTCGTAGACTTTGGGAGGTAGCCGTCTGTGGTGACATAACTGCGTTCCGAAGCTGGGGGCAGACTGAGAACACTGTCGGGTCGATTGTATTCAGGGTCTGTCAGCTGAGGCGCTACGTAGATGGTATCTAAGGACGATATGGTGTCGATAGATGAGTCCCCATTGAGTGGGGTGACACATGTATAGCTGGACGTGAGTATATTGGCCGACTCTGGTCGGATGTAGGGCGAGTGCGCGTCGAACGACACTGGGAATGTTGTCGGTGAGTCGTAGGGGCCGATCATGTTGTACGGCGTTGTTGGAGACTGCCTCGTGTTGGAATTATTTGACTTCACGCATGACGCTGCGTGGATCGTCAACATATCCATCAACCGACGCTTTTGAACTTCCAAGTCCTGCAAGAAAGTAAAAATATTTATCAAAACTTTATTTTTAAAGCCGATATGTGCGTTCTTATCGTGTTTTCTGTCGACTCTACATTAACTCTAATAAGTGGTTGACTCCTATTTGTTATCGTCTACGAGCGTCATAAGTTGTATTCAAAGATATCTGGGAGGTGAAATGGGTCTTAAAATTATATTTCAATTTGTGTTGTTCTCGAAAAACGTACTTAATTAGTTATTTTCCCAAAGAAGCAATTAACTGTTTAAACAAAACAAACAAAGAATTGAGTCAATTCTTTGAGCTTTTTATAGACTTTTCCCTACCTTAAGTTGGGCCTTAAGGTCTATGTTCTGATTCTCCAACACCTCGCTCTCAGTGACCAGGTTGACCGTCCTCTCTCGTTTCTTCATCCGACATTTTGTTGCAGCTATCTTATTTCGTTCTCTTCTACGCCGCCTACGCTCCTCGTCCTCTGGTGTGAGCTAGAATTGAAAATTAATTATTTAACAAATTTGAAAGTTATGACAAAATGGGGAAGAAAAATTGGTTTCTAAGAGGTAGCAAAAGGCCCTAAGACAAACAATTTATTATCAAATCGTGCTTCACTATACTAAGTGGCAGCTTATCTAGTCGCTTTCATGACTAATGTCGATAACTAACATTTATTATTCAATTTTTATCGAACTACAGTTCCTTCTAATTCATTCAACCTGCCCACGTACCTATTCCGAATATTTGCATAATACAATGGCTAAACAAAAGAATAATCAATCCAAAGCCCGGCCCATTAAGTAAGGCTACTCGATACGCCGATCATTTCTCATTGCCATAATGCTACCTTTCAGAATCAGGAAGTGAAGTCACGACCACCGCCACATTTGTGATGCCTTCTTCGTAAGCTCATAAAACTTCAATGAAGCCGTTGAATTACAATGCTGCGCATTCGCAATAAAAGTTAGTTTAGATACGATTTGCAATCTTCCGCACACATCTTTATTTATTGCGGCTACATGGGAAGTGCAGTCGTTGGGCGGTAACGCGGTAACACACGACTCGTAAACTTGGACATAAAATATGCATTTAGCAATACTTCGAATAACATTTATATGAATGAATAACGTGACCCTTGAACGTTCAAAACAATTCTAGGAGTGGCACTAATGATTTTATTATTCGAATAATAAATATGCATATTATTAAATGTTAAAAAAATCGAGGCAACTGTTAAAATTAAGCACGAGAACATGTTACTTTCAGATCATTAGTTGTGTAGGTATACCGGATGCCTACACAACTACAATAAAATCACATGTATTTTATCTAAGCAGCGTAGTGAACACGTGAATCCCTCGTTTTCCTTGCTAGCAAATGGCTACGTGACTAAATAGCAGTGTTAGGTACATTACCCACAGTTGCCACACAGTTTGAAGCTTCGCTGTACGAGAGGGTATGATTGCGGTTACAAGTGTGAACATTAAAATAAATATGCTTAGAAGATCTAAAATTCTTCCTATGTCGGACGGCTTTCCGTTTTTAAAATAACATTTAAATTTTATCTTTGTACTGTCGTCTACGATAAAGAGGGTTTACCCTATCACTACTTGAGGATTCTCGCTGTTTCTTATCTCGTTTTCAAAATTGCGAAATACTAAGACATTTCCTTGTGATACTAGCTTAAGATGTCCGTCGATGACGAGATTTTTTAATATATTTTTTTCTTCTTATATGTTCTAAACTGGGGAATCACTCAATCTTATGCTCCTGCAAATACTACAATAATCTTTGGTTCGTACTACAATGCTATAATATTGTTATTATTTATAGTGACGGTACTCACCCCATCGGACTTGTTGGTGAGTGTGTGGCTACTGTCGTAGTCATCATCGCTCTCCTCCTTCTTCATCCTCTTCATGCCAGCGTCCGTGTCACTCCCAGACATCTTCCGTTTTGACTCTATCGACAACTTCAGACCAGCCTTTATTAGTTCCGAACACGTCTGGAAAATGAAAATGGGGCTTTTCAGATTTGTTTAGAAAATTTACTACATAGAGATTGTATAAAAGTTTCGGAGTACCAGGTACAAAAATGAAAGGTCGTCCTGTCCATTGTCCAAGTAATTTTTCAAGTAGCTTTATCCTTTCTTTATACATTTCCATTTATCTCGTTTAATTTATCTGTTGTTCGTTTTGTTATCATCCTTTGTTTATTTAACATTTCTCAGATGATAAAAAATAATTTAGGTATTACTACGATAGAAGTTAAGTGTGTTAACAATCTTATACTTCTCAAGTGTGCCGTCAAGATTCTAGCAAGTTGACTTAAATGGAGACGTGAGTAATTTACATTTACTGGTATAATAGCTCTACATTACTAGTGCTTAAACTCAGCTAGTTGACTGAGTAATTTGACGGAATAGCAGTGTATTCAGGCTAAAATAGCTCCCATTAAAGTTTTAATCAAGTTATAAATTGATTGTTTGAATGGGAGATGTTGCACAACTTGCACATAACAATATTGCAGTTTGTGAATAATTTATGTGCACTTCACCTGTTCACCAATGATTCACGGCTCCTTAGAGCTCAAGGTCATTACTGAAGATGTATTCTCAATACGTGAGTATTACGAGAATGTTCAAGTGCAATTACGGTTTTATACAATTGTGCAATTCCAATTGAACTGTGAGAAAAAATAAACACACGATTGATATTACAATTATTAATTATCAAGGTGGTTTGTTTTTCTCACATTTTCAACGTCCGCCCATTGTCTAGACCTTACCTAGCCTTTGGAACTGTGCTACATAAATTACTCAAGAAAAAACTAGTCGATTCGTTCAATAGGCACTAATAACGTTAATTTGAATACGAGGTCAAAGGAAATCTACAAATTATTCATCCTATACGCGCATGTTTGTGGAAAGTGCAAAAAACTGAATAGCGTTTCTATGGATAGATTTACGCTGCATTTGGCGTTGGTCAATGCATATTTAAAATGAAATCTCTTCCAAATTAGGTTTAGGCAAACATCAATATGTAGAGGCTTGACTATACTGAGAATATGTGAAACAAGACACGATGATTTGGACTTTGGACACAAGAATTCCTCAAATCTTAAATCCACCAAATCTAAAACACGTGTTTTAAATGAGGACCAAAAATAAAAAGATAATGACCGCCAAAAGTTTGTTGTTTATTTTTTAAGACATCATAAAAGTGCAAGGATGAGAAATACTGGTTCTTTATAAATCAAAACTTAACGACTCTGTAAAAGCTTTCGAGATGAACATGAATGTGCAATTAGTGGGATTTAGTTCTATTAAATATTGAGTTATTATAAATAATTAGGAAAGACGTGAATAAACAAATATGTTTTTTTCACTGACATAATGACTTTGAATGCTTAACCAATCAAAATAACTCAGTAACGTCTCAAAGTTCACGGATTCTTATTATCTTCTAAAGTAGAAACGATCAATGATATTTACCTTTTGTATACTCGGCGGAGTGCTTGAAGCTGGTGAAGTAGCTGACGAACCGTTTGACATGGAGGAGTTGGAGTCATTTCCGCTGGCACTCTGAAATAATATGGGCAAATGAGACCTTGTTTTGCACGCTGACCGAACACCGGTAATGGTATATTTTCCACCTCGATGCCTTTTGTCTAAAGGTGTGATGTACCTATGTTATATGGGACAGTTTGCACGCAAACGCCATTAGCTAACACGACACGAAAGTTCCTGATGACTCGGGATTGGTCGTTTTTATGTAATTTCACCTTTTGTTCGGAAGTAGCTTTTTGTCTTTTTTTATCCTCATCGCTAATGATCATTTCAATGCATTTACTCTATTCGGGTCATGGCAAACTGACATACTGTGAACGTGCTTTATGCTTTCTTTTTAGGTTAACACCAAAGGAGATTCTATTAACTCTTCAATTTAATTTTACTGTTCTTTTTTGGATATTAGTGGAAGATTTCAAACGTCTTCCAACAATTTAAAAGGTTTGTATATGGATGTAAACCACATTTATGTAACATTTTCCTTGACAATAACGTGGTACCTCCATGTTTAATTTTAAAGTAAGTAGTTGGCATACCACTTCTAACTTATGACTTGTTTGATTACACGGGTAAGCAAGCATACTTTTTCGTACTTCGCTTACTCAGTGTTGTTTGCACTCATCCGAACTTATCACGTCTGCCGTGTAACTAGAAATCGAGGCTCTCCTATTGTATACCTACCTACACAATATGAATCTAACACGACTAGGTAGGTAAAGCCACTGAATTATAATTTTTTGTTGTAATGGTTATTATAATGGCCAAACCATTTTAATATAGCAATGGATGACACATGCTACCAAATTGTCATATCAAATGTTTAGCATCAAGTAATTGTCCGCGCTGTCCCATTGTTTTTACGCTCTAAATTGCTCGCCATTCACGTTTCAGTGAAATGAAACTCATTCATGAAACGGCAGCGCACGAGTCGAGATAATCAACACTACAAATACCTACCTATACCTATAGCAGAACGATAACTAAATATAGATAACCCGATATCAAGTGTTACCGCGGCGCCATCGAGTCTGCTGCTAAACACAGTAAATAAGGAGTCTGCATAAGGTGCATGACCTCATGGTACTGCATACTGTGAGTGTTATCCAATGTTTATAATGGGGGAGTGATGGCCGGTCACGTGGTCATAGTTACGTGGCACCTAACACTTGGCAACCGTTCAAAATACTTGTAACACTTATTTTACATTCTAACGAGCATGCATGGATGTGACCTAAGTACTGGAAGGATCCTACGTGCATTGTGAGCGTCCAGCCGCTCTGTGAAAGCACGAATAACAATGAGAACTTCAAGTACTCGGGTCGTGCACATTAAGTATTCACCCATTTATTTAGTTTTAGTTCCTGGAGTACCTATCTACTTTGGTAAAACATAATAAAATAACACTGAAGGACATCACATTGATATCATTATTTCTCGCTACAACAAAATCTCATTACTTTATCAACATGATTCCACGCACGCGCACTATTTAATTAACTTCAGATACAACGTTTCATTTTTCATCCGAGATTCACATTAATCATGCACGTGCGCTAATAAAAAACCAAGCTATCACATGTGCTAACAAAAGAAGAAAAAAGTATAAGCCGCTCACCTTGAAACTGGAATTTTTGTCGTAGTTGTACTGGTCCAAAGGGTTGGTCATGGTGATGACATCGTTGACGATTTCGGGGGTTCTTAGGGTAGTGGGACCAGCGGTTTCAGCCGTCAGCATGTTGATCATGGCGGCGCTGAGGTTGACGTTGACGCTGAGGTTGTAGGTGCTGGCGGTGTCTCCGTCCGTGGCCACGGCCGCCGCCGGCGACGGCGACGTGTCCTCGCACTTGATTGTCGGCACCGTAGAGCTCATGCTCGTAGAATTCATTATATCCTTGTATGGAGCCAGTTTCGTATCTTTTTGGTAACGTTTTTGCACTAAAATTACCGGTAGCGGTTAGCACCTAAATTAAGTATATGACTATATCACGATACGCACTATCACTAACATATAACTAAATATCACTGCGTGTGGTAAACTTGTTACGAATGGCACTTAAGTCTTCTTAACAAGAAGTCTTCACGGGTAACGTTCGTTTCACTGTTTTCACAATCTGAAAAGAAAAGAAAAACAATTAGTTGTTTTGAACTTTTGAACACAAATGTGAATACTTAAACTTATTTTAAAATAAACTAAATATGGCTACGATTAAACCGGATCTTGAACCATGACCCGTTGCCTGTTGGTAATCATAATCACTATCATTACAATAAAAGCGGGTTATTAAAGAAATTAAATTATTCTGACAAATAGCTTCTCGGTAAAGCTGTAATTATTAGGCATATATCTCGTGTTATTTAGCTTGTGTAATATTTTAGCTGCATACCTAGAGCCTGTAAATCTTGTTCTAAAAATCTGACCAGTAATCGACTGAAGGGCATTTTGTATTTCGCAAGAGGCGATTCAGAGAGGCCCCGCTTTCGCAAGAGTGCACGCGGCGGGTTTTTAATTAGACCTATCTGAACATCGCGACCTCGCAGCCAGGATGCGACTCCAATAAAACGCTTTTTTACAAGCCCCAATTGAACGCTAGCCATAAAATTTAAAACTACGCGCACTTTTTTACGACGTATTTTAATGCTCTTCCGCGTCGTCTATTGTTCGTTCCGTAGCTCGACAAACTACGGTGTAGCCGGTATCTGTAGGATTAGTGGCCAACCGGCTAATGCAAGGACATGCATGGATTAAGCAATTAACGAATACTTTGTAGATATTATCGCGCCTCTAGGAGACTACATTATGAGGAGATTTGGGTTGTGTAAAGTATAATTAGAACATGTATCGTGACACGAACATTCAGTCGATCAAAACAGTAGCTAAATACAATAGTCCATATATAGCTAGTCGACTCGAAAGCTGTCTGGCGCCTTGACCTGAGTTGTATATCTGTATATCTCATATCTGTGGCACGTAAACACAATAAAGCACAGACTCTGTGTAACCTAGTTGCGGCGGTTTTGCTTATTCAACTCGCGGAGTCGAGGAAAATGTGCCACGACGCCAGAAATATGGAGGTGCCAGATATGGACAGACATTCCCAAGGTCGTCGGCGTTCTCGGAAAATAACGCCGTGTTATGAAGATACCAGTGACCGCAACCGTGTGTTGTTTCGGGTTTACTATGTACATACCAATAGTATGTAGGTACCTATAATACTTCATGTTTATTCAATTCTATTTACTTACTGATCAATTATTTTAGTCTAAGCTGTACGTCGCCATGTAAATGTGATTTTCGATTAACTTTTCCATTATCTAAATATTTCCGCATAGTATATTGTACATTTCTTGATTAAAACAAAATTTATCTTATCTACTCATGTCTATTATTCAATTGTTTGTTATTTGTAAGTATAAAATATTATCAGAAACTAGGCAATTATTATTAGGTAAGTTGATATGCTTCTATAGGTACGTTATTGGGCACGCATTGTGCAATCAGTACGTAATTATTAATTTAATGAACAATGTCACTATTAGTTGCACATAAAATAATTATTTTTTATAAATATTTTGTGAAACATCTCTGAATTGCTTCAGAACTTGTTTCATAGGTTCTCAATCTCATGAAATGAAGGACGATAAAATTGCTTTACGCAATCTTGGATCTATCAGTAGCAATGACTGTGTTTGATGAGTAAACGAACCACATCTGTACAAACACGAGCTCGGGACTTGCCAAAGATTTTACGTCCACACAATAAACACACAAGTCTAATGGAGAAAGCGACAACATGGAAAGCTAGGAAAACTTTGCAAATGAAATCGCAATAGCTATGCAAAACACACTGCTAACAAAGGGTCACCCAGTACTTGACTGCATCATTTCAACCGAAGCTAGTAATGCGTGGGCTCACATAACTGCCTTTAAGCGAATATGCAAATTATATTGGGTAGGTAGTAGGACGTCCGTACCCGAAAAGGGAAAAGAAATATAATACAAATGTATCCGCTCCGAACTGTGTAGGCTTCAGCTTAGGTAGTTATAATATATGAATGTATGCACGGCAAGAACATTTCTGTGGTTTTATCAGCTGACAAACGGTTTGTAGCAATAATCGAATTCTTTTGTTATTACATCGTACAACCCTTTGTTTTATTAAAAATGTTATATACAGCCCAAACACATTTTACTGCTGTATACTTGTTTATTGCATTTTAGTTTTTATACCCAAAAAGAAATAACTGCGCAATTTCAGCGCCATTTAACTGGATAACGTCTCGAAACTTTTATATGGGGGTACTTAAATTCCCTCTTTCTTACGTCTGTGACATAAATACGGATGAAGGAGAGGGGCGATGGGATTGCCATGAGTTTGCAAGCAAAGGGGTCGAGTTCTATATGTTTAAAACGTCACTGGAGTGCAATAAAGGCGAGGTCGTTACGACTCTTTGTCCCGGCGCTACCGAGTTAACGAGAAATGGGTAACCTAGTTTTGGCCGCACCCGCGGCGTACTACGGTGCTTGTCAACTTAATTGCATCTCTCTGAGTGTTTTCATAATTAAAAACGTTTTAATATGAACTTTACAGGCAGGATAACAATTTTTGTTGATGAATTTGTAGGTGTAGTATTCAATGTATGAAAGGTTCTTAATTAATGTTTTTAGCATTGTTACACTGAAAACGATAAGTTAAAAAGTGTAGTGTATTATAACAATCCATTAAAATTTGCTTTATCTGTTAATTGTGTTTAAAAGCTAAACAATGTCACCTTGTTTTATCCTACACGTTATTTTTAGATGAAACTGTGTTCTATCCTCATTGTACTATTTTGGGATCGGATGTCCACCAAGGATCAGCCGGACAATGTACCGACCTACATGATTTTAATTCGGTCGTAGGCGAATGTCTAACAGTCCCTATTTGAACACTTTAATGATATTTCAAGTCAAGGTACTAACATTGATGTTGGTCATAACTTCGGTAATTTAATTAATATGACATTAAAATTAGAGCAAGGTGGCTCAAATTCTGGCCAAGGGAAGTATGATTATCAAACTGATTTTCTAACTAGTGGATGTCCTGAACACTTATGTGTGATACAGTAATAAAATATCAAGGGTCTTTAATGGTATTTATTCCTACACTGACTGATTAAATAGTATGAACTTTATCGGTTTATTAAATGAACATTGTGCAGGTATAAGGTAGGTACAACTTGTAATGTTATAAGTCGTAAATGCAACGTTATTTATTGGTCTTATTATTAACGTTTATGTATTTATCATTTCATGAACGTGTTTCTTTAATGTTGTCTATAAATTATATCGACAATTGCTTGTTAGAGTACCTACCTACAACATTGTTTTTGATCGTAATTGTACCTTGTTCGTTTTCTCCCCATCTCCAATTCTTTACTACGTAGATGTCAGACATTCGTTATGGTTGTGAATCTTTTTTCTACGAACTCAATACCAGCTTGAGATGATATCGTTGAATCACTGCCTAACAAAAAATGCCCAAGTACGTACTTTAATAGGAAATACTCAATAGTAAGTACCTACAACAATTTTGACAAGCGTAACTGATGATGTTGTACGTTCGCTCGTACAATGAAGTAATAAAATAAATCTGTCTGCAATATTTTGAGTTCATTATTATTCAAGTGTAGAGGACGTTATTTTTTAACAAAACAATGCAGCTAAAATTTAGTGAACGGAACGGAAACAACGAATTTTAACATCGGTATCCAAATTAGTTGATGGTGTTAGTTAGGTGCGTTTTCCGTTTTGGCGGTTCCGTATTTCTATTCATTCTGCCATTATACAGTATAGTGAAAATTATCAAATATTTATTTTTTATGCTTGTATGATGATCATGACTACTTAAAATATTTAAATGAACAATTATTTAAATACTTTTCCGAAGTTATTTTCATTAATATTGTATTGTTTTATTTCATTCGTAACATTTCTATGAATCTACAATACAGTATTACTAAGTACGCCTTTTGGATTTGGATTAAAAACATCTGAATTGACCACATATTTTGCATTAACCGCAGTTGTAAGCCACGTGCTAATGCAATTGAACACGTGATTCAATCGGCTATTTTATTCATTTAATATTGAGTTGAAAACAAACTTTAATAGCTTGAATTAATTTCCATATGTAAGCGTTTTTATCCGCTGCCAAATGTCATTCCAATGGTGGTCTGCATCTGCATTCGTTTTATAGCCATTGTATTATGCATAGGTATATATATGTAGGATATAAAATTTTGTAAAACATTCAAAAATCCGATGAGTGGATTTCCAGACAGGGTTAGTCCTATATATTTTTTATTGTCCAAGTATTTGGGTTTTATTATATTATAAAACGCCTGCACTTATTAATTCTTAATGAAAATTAAATAAACATTATTTTCGCTTAGCAACACAAAGGAAAAACAAAAAAAATTCAGTAGGTTACGTTTGGCTGAACCCTAATCCAAGACAAGTGGCGCCATTGTTCCAGCTACGATTAGTTGGACAATGTCGGCTCTGAAGGCGAGTGAGCACGTTCATCAATTATACTGTCAAACAACACACGACCCGAGCCTTTATCAATACACTGATACCCACCATGTATGTGAGTATCAGTTCTATGATATGCGTTTATACTATAAAGTGTAGATCAAGGCTGAATTAGATAATTTCTGTAACTAAAAACTTGTGACTTCTAATTGTAAGAAAATACAAGCTTAACAATGAATCACCCATAATAGATATCCTAGATCTCAGTCAATGGAGCCATCAGACCACCAAAGATGGGGCCCAATAGGGCTGATGCCAATACGGAGTCGCGGAAGATTTAACGGGTTGCCGGGATTTCGGCTCGAAGTGCA